CACTTGAGAGCAGTCCTTGACAGTCCTTGACAAGGCTTGACCACAACAAGAATCTAAAATGAGGAGGAGAGTGAGTAAATTGAGTGTAAGGAAGCTGCAATAGTGAGGAATCAACGAGTTCAGTATAGTAGATGCGGTGACTATAGCCGGCATACCTTGTTGCGCTCTTCTGGATGCTCCTCCTTCAAGACTTGGGTTTTTTGATTGTGAGAAGTTGAGTGCAGGCCAATCAAATCATGGGGCTTGGATGTGGCTTGTGACTGCTCAGTCATCGAGCACCTACGTGATTTTGACGAGGAGAGAGGGACATTGGAGTGTGCGCTGGAGATAAATTACGTGTATTTGATTCAATGCAGTAGCTACTCCTTGTCTCGGCTTATCCTCTGCATTGACGAAGATAAATTCACTTGAAACAGCAAGACCCCAAAGTCGTAGCCAAAGTCGTAGCCAAAGTGAACGGACTTACCAATTGCCAATATCAAATTTGCTAGTCCTCTCTCCTGTTCCCGTGTGCACCTGCGAAGTTGATTGAACGTACAGACTTTACAAGCAAGCTGTGTTGAATTAATATTTCTGGCCACAGTTTTACATTTCTACAGTTTGGGATCTTTCTGCTACTTGCTGACGTGGTTGAATATGATATTCTGCCTTTGATATAGTGACCTTCATAGAGATATGATATAGATGTCCTCAACAGTGGGACGACGATGATGTTTGGAGATAAAATGATCCATAACGTATTTCCATGACTTCCTCACATAAGACGCGACCAATTTTTAGACCTGATTCCCGACCATTATCACGTTCAGAGAAATGGTAGTTCACCAATCTCTTGAAAGGGTCGTTGACGACGATGATAAGTGGATCTGATTGGTCGGTAAAATGATGAAACTTATAGACGTGTGCAATGGCTTTGTCAAGTGGAGTAGATTCGTAAAGACACTCTCAGCAGTACCATGATACGGTGACAATTAGCGATTGTATGTTCTTCAAGGAGTCGAGCCCATTCGGTCACATGTAGATATACACTTTCAGACACTGAGAGCAGGCACGGACCTTGATGGCTCTGGAAGTAATCTATTCGAGCATTACTTCAACTTTGCGTGTTTTCTCTGACTCGACTTGAGGAGGAGGGTCAGACATTCCTCGCGTCATCAACAAAGAACTACTATACGAGGAAATGTCTTGAGGATATCTGATGATTTGATGTCATTGTATTCATATCATTCTCATACAAGAAGATTAATAAAGAAATGTTGAAATGTTGAAAATCTACAAGAGAGTTTTTTAAGTGTATGTGCGTATGTACGTGTAGTTGTGGGGGTGCATTGTGTTCTGTTTTTCAATAATAGTCTATGATAAAGGAGCCTTCTCGCTCACTAGAGCTAGGCGTCGAATGTTTCCTATTTTCGTAAGGATGAGTGTGAGATAAACAACATTAAAAAGACGGTTTTGGAAGATTCAACTATGTACCTATTGTACCAGCAGCAGCTTCTTGCAATGTAGCATCTGGTGACCCAACCATCGATAATAAGAGTTGGACAACACCTTGCTCGTGCATTGTAATGCAATTATCAGCTAGATATGAAAGACGTCAGCTTCAACTGATGCAAAAAACCGATTATATCGAGTCCCAATAACTCACGATCCATAGAAAGCTGATGCAAAGCTCTCGCCGTAGTACGATGAACTTCATCATCAGGCGACTTGAGATATTTCACAAGTGGTGCAACAGCACCAGCCGCACCAAAGGCAACACGGTTGTTACCCCATCGACAGCATCGAGCAATGGCTTCAGACAAGTGTTTACGTAATTTGTCGTTACGTGTGTTTGCGAGTTTGGCGAGCATGGGTACGACACCATGATCGGTTATGACGGCCAAGTTTTCCTCTAAAAATTGGTTGAAGGTGAATATCAACCAAAAAACTCATTTATTAAAAGGGATGCTATATTTCTTACCATCACAAGCAATGTTTGCAATAGCAGCACATACAGATGCTAATACATCTGGATCATCTGATTTCAAGAGACTGACAATCAGTTCGAGACCGCCGACGAATGAGCGAACCATTTCACCCGCATCTTTGGCTAAAAGAATGAAAAAAAGTCAGAACGCAAACGTGGATTGTCTAAAACAACCAATATTTACCATGCTCTATACAGGGTGAAATAGCCCAAGCAGCAGAAGCCTGAACTTGTCGACTTGGAGATTTGAGTAGAGACCACAACAGACGTACACCATCCAAACGGTCAATGACGTTCATGCTTTCAGCTAGAAAATGTTCCCATTAGCCTTTCAATTTTTGCCTCGACAGATTCACACACATAAAACCACATACCATCGAGTGCACAGGCACCAACAGCAGTGGTAACATTAACCAGCAAGGCTTGATTGGTTCCAGTCAACAAATTAACCAAGGGAGTAATGCCTCCAGACTCTCGCAACACTCGTCGTCCTTCTTCAGTTTGTGCACAAGCACCTAGAGCTCCGACGACGTTAACAAGTACATCTTCAGGCTGGTTGTCCATAAGCCCAACAAGCTTCTTGATGGTGTTGAGTTTGTTGAATGCGGCTACGTTCGTCACTAGAAGTATGCAAAAAGAATCAGCAAGCTGGCCTACGGTCTTGTGATATGATCCCATAACGTACGGTTCTGAGCACATTTCCAAACAGCTCCGGTAGCAGCTACCAACAAGTCCTTGTTGCCACCGTTATCCAACAGGTTGACTAGAGGTGTCAAGCCATTGTATTGACGAACGAGTTCACGAGTTTCATCTAAATGAAAATTATCATGTTTCTAACATTACTGGACTTTTTGCAGCTGAGTACCCATACATACCTTCACAAGCACACTTGAAAATAGCACTAGCACAGTGGCACAATAAATTGACATTCTTGGACGACAGATGCTCGACTAGGAACTTTATCATTCCGGTTTTACGAATGGCGAGACGGTATCGTTCTACAAACAAAAATCAGAAAACATTGAAGCTGATGAAGGATGCGTTTTCATACCGTCAGAAGCACATTCTTGAAGGATGCCAACTACTGGAATCAACAATTCTTCATTCTTGGATTCCAGTAATGCGGCAAGGAGAGGAATGGCTCCAGCTGCTTGAATAGCGTCCTTGTTGTTTGCTATATTGCGAAAAAATATGTTAGTATACCGTGCCCAATAAATGTATGAGCAAATACGAAACATACCACTTTTACTGCAGCTCTCCAGAGCCAAAGCACCAGAAATGGCTACTTTCTCATCAGATGATCCTGGTCGAGCCTTTAGCAGACGAACAAGTTTCCTCACACCACCGTAGCGACGTACGGCACGACGATTTCGAGCTACATTAGAATACAGTCAGCAAGTTTCTTCTGCATGGTTGAAGCGTTGACACGCAAACGTACCATTTCGAGCACAATGAGCGATAGTCTCAGCAGCCAAACATTTGATCTCTTCATCTGGATCCACCAGCAATTCAACCAATGATAACATGCCATCCAAATCTGCAATAGCGTTACGGATTTGAACTAGGTAGAGCACAAAGTTAGATCCTTTACAAAGAATGTCTACTTCTTTTTTACGGACTTGCCATTGTGTGAAATTTCCTTCAAGACTTTCAAAGCACCGATTTTGCATCTTGCATCATCGGTATCGAGCAAGTTGACAAGAGTGTCCAGACCACCAACGTCTCGGATAGCCAATTGGTTGAATTCTGCATAGACCGAGTTGTGATTAGCCGATTGACCAAAAAGCGACATGCTCAATATTGTATACTTGCCATTCGAAAGATCGAAATCACGAAGCGAGCAAATAGCAATGATGGTAGCTGTTTGGTTACCAACTCGGAGGTACTTGACCAGCTTTTGAATCTGAAAGTATTCAGCTGGTAATTCACCTATTCATAATCCATATAAGCCTTTTCTTGCGTACTCGACACCAAATAAGACAACCTAAAACACAACATACTGTTTTCTTGTCTCTTCTCAGTGGTCTCCTCCTCACTCGTAACAGCACTCTCATCACTCTCAGCAAAATCATCGTCATAGCTCATAGCATGATGAGGCTTATTCTTTCTAGCAGATCTTGATTTACTAGGTGATTCAGATCTGGCACGTTGAGCATGATGGCCCTTTTCAGCATCTTTTCGTTTACGACCAATAGCTGAATCGTCCATTGTGGATGTCAATGCACGCCATTTCATGGATGGTTCTGCGGCACGGGCTGGAGCACCACCACGCAGTTTACTTGTACGTCTCTTTGCTTGGGAACTGTTGGAATTGTTGTTATTGTTGGCGCCATTGTTTGCTGTTCGTCGGGCACTGGCGTCTGTTCGTCGAGCACTTCGTTCTGCGTTTCGTTGTTCAACTTCGTCGTCTTCGGCCTAGAAAGAAAATCGGGGGGAAAAAAGTCAGAACTTGCGGCTGGGAAATGATGCCAACACCGTCTTGAACGACTGAATACTATTAATTAAAGTCGTACAGCTTCACCAGGTCCAGGAGAAGTACCATCTAACGCTCTCCTTGATTCAGGTCTATATAAATAATCTTGACTCTCGACACGAGCAGCGAAATGCTTTGAGATACTTCTCAGCAAAGCAGTCAAAGTAGGGAATGTTTCACTTGACGTGGTATAATCCAGATGTGGGACACCTTTATCGTCTGGGTGGTATCCCTTGTTGACAAAATATCCACCTTTTGTAGCAGTGATGCATACTTTTTCACTATCGGCGGGGACAGCTTCCATATATCCCAATTCATTGTGCACCTGTCTCCATGGAGGAGCACGGTATCCGTTCGCGAATGTGTAGTCTGATGACCAGTCGATGGAGGCGAGAGCGTATTTTTGGTCTTTGCCACAAAAGGCTTGTAGCATGGCTAGTTCTTCGGTTACTTTGCGAACGTCTAGTACTCGTTCCCTATGGAGGCAAAAAGAGTCAAGCCATGAATACCTTCGAAATGCACCGTATGTAAAGGACGTACTTTTCCATAGTCAGCAAAGCTGTTTGCATTAATTGTACATCCATAGCGTGGACTAGTAGCAGCAGCTTATATAATTTTTGAGCAGACTCCTTCCTTTTAGGATCGGCTTCAGCATTGATGACATCAAAGGCTTCTAAAAGGGCCGAGTCTCCAGTAGATTGTACATCAAACATCAAATTCATGGGTTCTCGATTGCCTGAGATGGAATTGTGTGTGAGCATTTCAAAGCCAAGACAATCACAGGGGGAAAAACCTGCGAGAGTGGGCATTATGTGCTGAAATTTGGTCGAGTAATCGGTCTTACATTCTACGATTTCTTGTATTTCCTTTAACTTTCCAGCACCGGCGACTTCTAGTACCTTGTTGAGGTGGTCTAGTGTCCATACTCGAGCAGTGAATGTGGGTTCCGGCAGAGTAGCAACTGAACCGTTTTGTGAGACAGGATCCAGTAAGAATGCAGGAGATCCATCGGTTTTGGTAGCTATAGAAGTAACAACCGGCTTTCCAGCTCTATTGTAAGGTATAGTAGTTGTTTGTGATTAATGCATAATTGTGTGTGCAATGTTGAAGCAAATGGGCAAGGATGGTTACCTGGCCGAACCACCTATATTCCATATGGCGGTATCCTTGAAGGAAGCCGGCTTGAGAGAAGTAGCCCATTTAAGAGGAGCCCGTAGTTCAGCTCTTGACTCGTTAGGGTGATCTCTACATATTTTCTGAAGAGCGCGAAGGAGATCATACAATAGTTCCTGATTTGATGCGGATGTTTGCAGTTGCTGTTGGGCAGATGCACTGCCTGCCGCCCACTCTGGCCGCGTCGATAGTGTCGCGCCCATTATTAAACTGGCTTGATCTTCTCCTGAAAGTGGGTGTTGTTTTGTGAGGCAAAAAACAGAACACTCCAAGTCACTGAAGTGCATCTACCTTGATAGAACAGACAATATTAGAGTCATAATATCATAGCAACATGGACGACGATGATGTAAAGATTGTATCTGAATTGGACGATGAGAACGATTGTTCATCACCTCCTCCATCCTCAAAACGAAAACACGACGAGTACGACGACCAAGAGGACGATGATGATTATGGAGATGACGAAGAGTCTGCTTCTCCTCCTAAAAAGGCTAAACTGGCTGCTGGAAGGAGTGCTCCCAAATCGGCTACAGTCGCTACAAGAAAGAAGCCTACATCAACTCTGCTTCGACGACCACTAGGAAACATGCCGCCGCCTCTCATCTCAAGAGTAAATACTACCATTGCTTTGCAAACTGTGGCTAAACCATTCAAGGTACTTTATTCATCGCTGGATCTAGTCTAGATCGTCCTTGTTATTGTCATGTCGGCATCCTCTGCTTCTTGAAACTTACTTTCCTCTTATGTTTTAGGCACCATCTTTTCTCAATGGAATCAAGTCTGATGGAGGAGGTCGCAGAGGAACCGTACGTTCTCATGAGGGACTGTCGTTTTTGGTCGATGTTGAACTACACCTCACACTCATTTACAATCATTAGACTCTGGGTGTACGTCGCGTCCCACTAACCACTCGAGGAGCACTACACGATCCAGAAGCCGAAGGAGCAATCATCCTCTTCACGCCAAAAGTATACTCGTTGACTGAACAGCTAGAAGCTAAAAAGTCAACCGCCACGGGCAAAGAAGTAATTGTCCAAGAAGTACATGTCGTAATTGATCCTAAACTCGCTACTGTATTGAGACCACATCAGATCGAAGGTGTTCGTTTCATGTGGGAATGCGTTACCGGTGTCACTTCGCCCAATGCATTTGGTTGTATTATGGCTGATGAAATGGTATGTCGCGTTAATTTATGGAATACTTTGAAAGCTTTGGAGCTGATCAACAGCGTTTTTTAATCTTTAGGGACTGGGGAAGACTTTGCAATGTAGGAACCGTCTGTGTATGAAACGTAGATGATCGAAATCCTCATGAACATGATCTCAATCTAGGTATTACACTCTTGTGGACATTACTACGGCAATCTCCTATACCTGGCAAACCGACCATCGAAAAGGTGAAAGAAGACCGCTAAAAGTCGGTCACATCGTTTGACTAACACACTCAATACATTAATAGGCTATAATTGCATGTCCAAGTAGTCTTGTCCGCAACTGGGAGAATGAACTCAAGAAATGGCTCGGTCCTGATCGAATCAGACCACTTGCTTGTGATAACAAGGGTACGAAGAATGAAACTACCAAGCTCTTAGATCAATGGGCATGCTCAAAAGGAAGATCAATTGTTCTTCCAGGTGAATATGATCTCACTGTTTAGTGGTTTTTTTGTAATTCGATTCTTAGTTTTCCATTTAATAGTCCTCATTATTTCGTATGAGTCTTTGAGAGGTTATGCAGCAATCATCAAGAAGACAGAGATCGGATTGATGCTTTGTGACGAAGGTATATTGGATCGGTAATATACCAAGTCGTTTCTGTCCAGATCTGACACCAGTTTCTTTCTGGTCTACAGGACATCGATTGAAGAACTCGGATTCTCAAACTTATCAAGAACTGAACAGCTTGAATGCCAAACGACGCGTCATTTTGTCAGGAACACCTATTCAGGTACATTTGATTTATCAGGCCAAAAAGGTACCCAAGTTTACGCAAACATCACCCTTTTGACAGAATGATTTGACGGAATACTTTGCTCTATTGAGTTTCGCTATTCCTGAAGTTCTTGGTACACAGGCTCAATTCCGTAAAATGTTTGAGATCCCCATCCTGCGTGGTCGTGACGCAGATGCCTCAGACAAGGACAAGCAAATCAGTAATGAAAAGTTGACCGAGTTATTGACTATCGCCAACAAGTTCATCATTCGTCGAACTGCAGATCTCTTGACCAAATATTGTAAGTTTGAATCCCGTGAATGCATCTTTTGTTGGTTTTAAGTGACTTTTTTTACCCTCATCAACTAGTGCCAGTCAAATATGAACATGTCGTGTTTTGTAAACTCACAGACTTACAAACTCAATTGTATACCGAATATGCCAAATCCAAAGCCGTCAAGAGTCTCTTGGCTGGTAATGGTAATCAGCCTCTCAAGGCAATCACCTTCTTGAAAAAGTTGTGCAATCATCCAGCTCTCGTCAACAAGGAAGATGTACCCGAAGCAATGACTCTGCCGCCCAACTTTAACTTTGACTTGTGTCAATCAGAGTTTGCTGGCAAGATGTTGTTACTTGAAAGGATGTTGGCTATGATCAAGTAATGCTTTGTCCATGTTATACACTTTTTCGCCATTCTTCCATGTTTGTTTGACTCAATGCTATTTACTAGGAAAACATCCAATGACAAGATTGTTTTGATATCAAACTACACTCAGACGTTGGATTTGTTTGACAAGATGTGTCGTGCTCGTCAATGGGGTGTATTACGATTGGATGGAACCATGACGATTCCCAAACGACAAAAGTTGGTGGAACGATTCAATGATCCTGCTGGTCAGGAATTCGTGTTTCTGCTCTCCTCCAAAGCCGGTGGTTGTGGTCTCAATTTGGTATGCTTCCTGGCATGGCTCGCCGCGCTTTTCATCGTTCGAATTTTGGGAAAGAGTTGCGAGTACTTTATTAACCACGGTCTACTTTAGATTGGAGCAAACCGATTGGTCTTGTTTGGTAATATTCCTCTTTCCACTTAGAGGCCGGTGCAAAAAACTTATGTTCGTCCTTTCAATAGATCCTGACTGGAATCCTGCTAATGATGGACAAGCATTAGCTCGTGTATGGAGAGGTATGAACGTGGAAAGTATTGAAACCTTTGGAAAGGACTTTGAACTTGTTTTTGGTGTAGATGGCCAAAAGAAGACGTGCTTCATCTATCGATTCATTGCTACTGGCTCCATTGAAGAAAAGATTTTTCAAAGTGAGTGAGAAAGAAAACCTACACACCTCCACCGCACGTGGAGCAATGTTGCCTCCGGAGCTCACTCTCTCAACTTTCTTGCACGTCAGGACAAGCCCACAAACAATCACTCAGCAGTTGTGTAGTGGATGAAGCAGGAGCCGAAGAAGTTGAGCGCCACTTCTCCTTAGAATCACTTCGACAACTCTTCCAATTGAATCTCAACACGATGTGTGATACTCATGATGCCTTCCATTGCAAGCGATGCACAAAGCAAGGAATCCAACATACCAGACCGAAAGAAGGCGCCATCACGGCTGGAGCTTCAGGTGCCGATACCAGTACATGGAATCACTTCCATCAAAGCGAAGTATCCAAATGCTTTGATAATGTGTTGAAACAGTGTGCTGGTGATACTGGGGTTGTTACATATGTGTTTCAGAACAAGGTACGTCGACGCAATAACGCTGTTTGAGTCCTTTTTTGGCGGGCTAACCAGAACTCTGTTTCTAGTCTCATGATCAGCTCGTTGTCAAACTCGCTTAGAACATTAGAACAATTGTCGTTATATATAGATCAGCCATAGAGAAGTGTACCTCAGCAAAATTGTAATTTAAAATGAAAATGCTTCACGTTATACAAATTTGCTATTGTAGAATCACGATTACTATAACTGTCTTCTGCAAGAGACATCCCCATCCACTGTTCATCTTCAAACACGAGACTTGATCCGCTGAACATACTCCACAATAAGCGCCTCCCTCCCGACATCATTATGAGGCTCATGAAACCTCCTCCGTCTTTTCAAAGATCTTGTTTGTCCTTCCAACTTTGGCGCTGAAAGCCTCAGACCCCTTAATTCCAGTCAGCTTGTCAGCAGGAGAATGACATATAATGATTGAGTACTTGAAGCTTGCAGCGTTGGCTAGTAATTTGGCTTGGCATGATACTACGCCTTTAAATGTCTTACCAGTCACTTTGGGTGCACCAGTGGATCTGCCTAATGTACAGAGGGGATGGATGTCTTTAGGAGTAGCGCTCGCACCAAAAAATCTCTGATAGTGCTATCGACTAAGGGTGCGATTCCAGTTTCAACACCCCTTTGTCGACAATATTTCACACCTTGTATGCTTCAACAACACTACCAGGTACAGGCAATTTATACAAAACGCAGCCATAGCCACGGTTCTGTGCGATGCTGAATGTGGACATCCGCGGCGGGTCTCGCTTGGCGCCCGGACGCCAATAGCGCGTGTCGACAGGTAACAGTCAATTGGGGTTGGCAAACGACAGTCTGACAGGTTGCCGAACTGCTTTGGATTGCTTTTGAGATGAATCGTGTGTAAGAAAAAAGTTTCACCTGTCAAAACGTAAGCATACCTCACATCTCAAATGTCAGTTGACTCCGTAAATATGTGTCATGAGCTCAGTGAATCAGTTGTACAGTGTAGAGTCCTTTTCGTAACAATCCCAATTCATAAACCCAACCAGAATCAGCTAGTTTCAAAAATAAAACAATTTATTTCTGACCTAAGTCCTACAGTGGTTCGTCATCCAATCAATATAATCCTTGATGATAC